TGTCATTCACACGAGGCCTATTGCACCTTTCTGTGATCTCTTTGGGGTGGAGCTCTTTCTGGGGGCTGGTGGTTTATTAGGGTCACCAAAATGGTGGCCAAACTCTCATGAAAGAAAGGAATGTTGTGCGAGAGTTCGGGTACCTTAATGGGGGAAAGCTCGAGGATGAAAAAGGAGAACTTGGAGTCTGGAAGGTCATTGGCTGGGGAAAGGGCCAAAAAAGGTTGGGTGCGACAGTTGGGAAATTACTGGTTCCAACAACATTAAGGAGCATTTCAGTTGTCCCGATGGTCTTATCCTGGAGTGCCCTTTGGTTATTTTTAGGAATCAATCTTGCTTTAACTTCAGTTGTCAAAGAATGCCCTTTTCTAGGTGGACTGCCAGCTTCCTGAGGCACCGAAGGATATTCTGAACGTTATCTCTGACCAGCTTCAGGAGGACTCACCTCTCCCTCATACTGAAAGACTGCCCACCCCCCAATCTTCAGTCTGAGAAGGAAGAGCCGACACTTGCCACAGTGGTGAGTATTTTACGCCTGGTCTTCAAAACATGGCTCAGCATGAAGATGATGCATTTGCTTTCGTGGACTCCTTCTGAAAGAGCTTCTGACACGAGGGGGAAAGAAACGCTCACAGTCCTCCATGAGGCGGTATTGGCCCAAAGGGGCCCCCCCAAAAAAATGATTCCTACTTTCTAATAAGAATATACTCTGTTGACTTGAGCACCCGCTTGGTTTCAAAAAGGGGAAGGAAACGGATACTTAACCTCTTGAACACCAATGATCATCTTTTTTCGCAGGGGAAAAAAATCAGCGATGAATGCGGGGAACTGAAGTATGTTTACTGATGGTAGAGGAGTGCCACCTTAAAATACGAGCTCTAACAGTAAAACAAAATCAATAAATGACTTTGGTTTCGTGAGCATTTGTTTGGGGGTGGTGGTGGTTCAATATTACATCAGAGACACAAGGCCCGTGCCTTTGAATGAGGGGTGTGGTGGAATGTAGACAAGATGGTGCTAAATGGGTGGGGCTAAAGAAGACAGGGTGGGGCTAAGAGCCCAGGAATATGGGGGATTTCTTTTTGTGCTTATGCTACTGACTAAAACAATTCCAAGAAAATATTGCTTTCAGACACAATCATAAAAAGAGTTAGCTAACATTGTCTGTTCAGCCAATATTTAATGGATAGGCCTCGGAACATCGGAGTACATTCTTAAAGAGTCTAACCTAACTCTTGCAAAATTGGATGGCGTGGGATGTACCTGCTTCTGAATGCAGCATGACTGGATGCATATTAAAGGAAACCCTTCTCACAGACAATTGCCACATGAAGGGAAAGGGATCTAGTACAGCCTTTCCCCTGATCTCCTCCTCCTTCTCCTCCTCTTTTTCTTCTCCTCCCCCTCCTGTTTCACCATCACCATCACCATCATCTTCTTCTTCTGTTTCATTTACATATTTTTCTCCATCATCATCTTCTGTTTCATCAACATCATATTCTTCTTCATCCTATACTTCATCTCATCATCATAATCACCCCCACCCCACCCCCATCATCATCATCTCCTCTTCCCCCTCCTCCTCGTTTGGAGAAACATTCAGTCATGTCAGCTTGTTCCTCGAGAGCCTAGACCTTTGGAATCTCTGTGATTGGGATTGGAATCCACAGTTCAGAGGGTGGGAGGCCACATCTCTATCCACGGCTTGGAAAATACATTCCCATGCTGACCCCAAAGCCTTGACTGCCCCAAAGACCTCCAGTTTGTCATTACTGGTATGGTTATTGCAGCTTCTGTTTCGATCCAGGTATGAACTTGCTGTCACTGTTCTGGAGTGAGTCTGAAGACCAACCGGCAAGTGTCCTAGTAAGAAGGGCTGTGAGGATCCTATATATGAGTTTCCTCAGGGCGTCAGGTCAGTGGGTTGAGACAGAAATGGCTAATTCTGTCTAAATCTACATCCCTCCTCAAATTCCTGAATCGTATGCACGTATACCAAGTCAAACAATTGGCCCCTTTGTCTCAACATTGTCTCTTCCGTCTGGCAGAGGTTTTTTCCGAGTGTAAGGCCGAGAAAGGTCTTCCCCGAAGGACCCGATGTCCTCTGTTTGCCAGAGACGGAACCTTTCTACTTATCTTAGTAGATGATCTGTAGCTAAGTTGGGTGACATCTGACAGTTTCTCTTGGTCTTCCAGTGGGTACCTCTAATGGTTTCCTCTAGCCCAGCCAACTGCAAATGGGCATCACTGCATATCATCCGTGGATCTGTGAAGCTACCCAGAGGGCATATGATGAGCCAATGGATAATAATTGGGGATAACTTTCATGGATTACATGGCAGGCATTTGTTTCCCAGATATGTGTGTTGTACATAAGTTGAAATGGAACTGCTGAGTAATTTTGAAGAATGAAATTAACCAAATCACCCTATGATTGATACCTCAAGCCCTTCCAGCTTTTGCTAAAGTGGGACATTGCAGAAAACACATTTAATTTTAGAAATTCATATATCTGTCTCCTACAGAGTAGGTCATCTAGTATTGTCTGCTCTGGTGAGCAGCAGCTCTCCAGGGACTCAGGAAAAGGGAACCTGTCCTAGTATTGGCTACCTCTGATCTTTCAGTTGAAGACCCCAGGGACTGAATGGGAGACTCCCTGCATGTAAAGCGAATGCCCTACCAATGAGCCACATTGCCCCTCCATACATTGGACATTGCCTTATATCAAGTCACCCAACTGGTTTATCTAGCTCAGCATCGCCTGCTCTGACTGGCCGTGGCACTCATGCAAAGAAAGCTCTTTTCCAGAAGCTGTTGTTTCAGATGCTTTCATGGGAGATGGAACCCACATGCCATGTTCTGTCTATGAGCGATGGATCCGTCCTTGAAAGTCTGATGGCATGATTTAGTTCTGAACTTTGAGCTGAACATGGCAAGCAAACTTCTCCTGCGTCATGCCACTGGTCCATTTAGCTACTTTTGACTAAGCCCGGGGTCTTGGACAGAGAAAGGTCTCTTCCATAATTTGCTACCTGAGATCTTTTAACTGGGGATGCTGTGAAGAGAGCAACAAAGATAGTTAGGGGGTTGGAGCACCTTCCCTATGAAGAAAGGTTGAAGAATCTGGGAAGTTTCAGTTTGGAAAATAAATGACTAAAGAGGGACATGACAGGCTTAAAAACTATGCACGGGATGGAGAGAGTTGACAGAGAATTTTTTCTCCTTCTTCCAAAATACTAGAGCTCACAGGAATCCAATGAAGCTGACGGGCAGTAGGTTCAGGACAGACATAACATAAGGAAATACTTCTTTACACAGAGAGGGTAGAGCTTCAGAGCTTTCTTTGCTTACTTGCCCTGAACAAACAAAGGGAGCTGTGTGTGTACCAGTATTCCCTCTAAGCTGAGTTGGTGTGAGCTGGCTCACAGTTTTTTAGCCTCTCGCTCACACATTTTTGCCTTCGCTCAGGAAGGAGGGCTCCAGAGCAAACTGATTTATGCAGTAGCCAAATCGCTCGCTCCCAGCTTTAATGCCAGTCGCTCACAATGAAGAATTTTTGCTCACAAGATCGCACAGCTTAGAGGGAGCATTGGTGTGTACGTATTTGTGCACAGGTATGCATCTGCTTGTCCATCTGTCCTCTCCCTCCCTCCCACAATCCCATTTTGGATGCCATTGCTTCTGGTGTTGAACAAGCTAAAGCCCTGTTTGCATAATTCCAGCACCAATTCAGGCATTCGCTGCTGCTACAACCTGGTGAGCTGACTTATGATTCCATCTGTATTGCTCAAAGTTACCAAGATGTATTAAAGTGTGCGGTGCGCTCAGCACTACACAATGACAGTTTTGGGGCATAATTGCTTTAATGTGGGCAATTAAGACTAAGTGCCTGTGATTTTACTGTCTGCCCTACATTCCTATGAATGATTACGATGATCAATACACATGATTTGTAAGTCGCTTCCTATTGATCGAATGGTAAAATGTTTGACCTTCCTTGGAGGAAGTAATTTGCTAAATTATGACACTACGCAAAGTCTCTCCCCCCCCCCCAGTTCAAAGGTGAGGGATAATGGTGGACAGAACTTGAGGGTGGGGGGCGGAGTGGAAGTGTGGGGAAGGGAAGAAACTTTTTTTTTTGGCCTTTTGCCTGAAAGTAGACCTCTGCATTATTATGTTCCTGACAACTCATTGGCTTTACCCGTGTGGAACGAAGCCATTCATTTCAAATCGGAACTTGGCTGTAGCAAATTTGCATTGGATTACCTTTTCTGTTCTTTATGTTGAATAAAACGTTTTGGCGGTTCATCTTGACTCCCTTTTACTGTTTACTTCTTTATTTACAGCCTCTACACCTTTCTTCTTGACCAGTATTTGGGCCAGTATTTGTTGAGAGCCAGTTTGGTGTAGTGGTTAGGAGTGCGGACTCTAATCTGGGAGAACTGGATTTGATTCCCCACTCCTCCCCATGCAACTGCTGGTGTGACCTTGGGTCAGTCCCAAGTTCTCTCAGAGCTGTTCTCTCACGAGCAGTTCTCGAAAGAGCTCTCTCAGCCCCACTGACCTCACAGGGTGTCTGTTGTGGAGAGGGGAAGGGAAAGGAGATTGAAAGATGCTCTGAGACCCCTTCGGGTAGTGACGGGCGGGGTATAAATCCAATCTCTTCTTCTTCTTCTTCTTCCTTATGAATGATACAGTAAGCTGTTTAAAAACAACCCCCCCAAAAGTATCACAACAACTCCCAACTGCAGTCAATAGTTCA